GAAGCCTCGGCTGAATGTCAATGAGCCGCTAAAAGCCGCTGTGCACTAGCCACGGACGCAGGGGAGTCCCACCCACGGACAGGTTCTCTCACCCGAGGATGCTCCTGACAAGCCTGGTTCAGGACGGGAGGCTGGAGAGAAAGCCTCCCTCAAGGACGCAGGCGCGGAGGAGGGGAGCAGACCCCACGGCGAAGAAAGCCTGAAGCCCAGCCTGAAGCCCGGCCCAGCCCTGCCTTCCGCAGAACAAAAGCCTCCGGGAGCAGGTGAGCAAACCCTGTCTCCCCCGGGCACACGAGGACCCATGTGGGCTGATGGGAGGGTGAGCAGGTGGGTCGCTGAGAAGCCCGCCCCTCAGACCCAGGGCCACAGGGACTGAGCTGGGCGGGGCTCACAGAGACCCTCCCCCTTTCCCCTCTCCACACTAACAAGCACCAAGTAGAGAGCAGCAGGCTCTACAACAGGGAGGGAAAAGCAGGGAGAGAGACTCCCGCTGAGGCACAGACATGCAAGGAAGGCTGGAAGCGGAGGGTGAACCCAAGCACTGCAGAAACGCCCTCTGGGTTCCGTCCCTCCCTAGCACATGGTCACAGTAGGGCTGGTGGTGCACAGAGGGGAGCCAGAGCAACAATAGGTCCAAAGTGAGCTTCACTCCTCACCCGACTGACCCCCATGCTAACAGCCGGACACACACAGGCCACTTCTAGGCATAAATACTACCTACCTCAGTCTTCCTGGTCTCACGATGTCTAACATTCAACACACAATGAGGAGATACACACACACACACACACAGTCAAGGGACAAAGCAATCCACAGAAACAGACCAAGGGATGACCCAGATGTTAGACTCTTAGGGAATTTAAAGCAACTATGACTAACATGTTAAAGGCCCTAGTGCAGCGGTTCTCAACCTGTGGGTCGCGACCCCTTTGGCGGTCGAACGACCCTTTCACAGGGGTCGCCTAAGACCATCCTGCATATCAGATACTTACATTACGATTCATAACAGTGGCAACATTACAGTTCTGAAGTAGCCACGAAAATAATTTTATGGTTGGGTCACAACATGAGGAACTGTATTTAAAGGGCCAGAAGGTTGAGAACCACTGCCCTAGTGGAAAAAGGAGACACAAATGCATGAACCGGTAAGGAACTCCAGCACAGGTGGAAACTGTAAAAGTGAAAGGGGAAGGTTCAAAATAAATGCAAGCAGCCCTGGCCGGTATGGCTCAGCTGGAGGGTCGTCCTATGCACTGAGGGGTCACTGGTCAAGGCACACGCACGGGCTGCGGGTTCGGTCCCCGGTCAGGGTGCTGGGGTGCGTGTGAGAGGCAACCGACGTTTCTCTCTCACGTCGATGTTTCTCTCTCTCTCCCTCTACCTTCCTCTCTCTCTGAAATCAATAAAAACATATTTAATAAATAAATAAAAATAAGCAAATAAGCAGAATGACCTCAACAGGTCCATCCTGAGATTTGACATAGTGAACTGAGGATAGGTCCATAGATATTATCCAACACAAATGACCCAAACTGATGCATAAAAAAAAAAAGAGTAAGAGACACAGAACAATCCAAAAACTAAGAAATAATATTCAACAGTCTAACCTAAGTGTAATTGGACCCAACGTGCCCAGAGAACCCAAAGCAGGATAAATACCAAACACAAGCATCTAGCATATCACATTCAAACTGCTAGAAGCCAAAGATAAAATGCTGGAAACATTCAGAAAGAAAAGATACATTATATACAAAGGAACAAAGACACAGCAGACCCCATGCCAAAAACCAGGCAGACCAGAAAATGGCACATGGTAACACTAAGGGAATTTGAAGCTGCTGGTACAAGGTAACCAAAGCAACAACAACCCAAATCCAGCTCAACTGAACAGACTGACTCAGTCCTCCAGCCTAGCAAAAAGTGTGCCCCTATAATGTGAGGAAAAATTGTGAACCTATAATTCTATATCCAGTGAAAATATCTTTCAAAAATGCCAAAAGCAGCAGACCTACACTACAAGAAATATTGAAGGAAATTCTTCAGGAATATGATACCAGATGGAAACATGGATCTACATAAAGAAATGAAGAACTCAGAGATGATTAAAATAAGGTAATATAAAATACTAGAGGCCCGGTGCACAACATTTGTGTACTGGGTGGGGTCTCTCAGCCTGACTTGTGCCTTCTTGCAGTCTGGGACCCCTCAGGGGATGTCCGCCTGCTGGCTTAGGCCCGCTCAGCGCGGGGAGCAGGCCTAAGCTGGCAGGTGGACATCCCCCGAGGGGTCCTTAGCTGCCGGGGTTCTTGTTCCAGCATTAAGAAGGGGTTCAGCAATCTAGAGAAGGGCTATGTGTAACTTAATAAAGAGTCCAGAGACGAAACATAATTTTGAAAGGGGGTCAGAGGAGCCTAGCTAAAGAAACTAAGATCTCCTCATCTCAGGACCCCTTGCTTTTTATTAACACAATTTGTCCTAAGGTGAGGCGGAGATATACACATCAAAGGGTCAGGTTTCATATACAGAGGCCATTGTAAGATTATCAGGTTTTGGAGAAACTGCCTTCGGCTGTTCAGGTGTTTGGCCAGTAGGAGGCAATAATATGTAGATTAAGATGCCCTTAGCTGTCTGGCAGCAAGCAATTATCCTTTTCAGGTTTGGGAAAATGCCCTTCAGCCACTCGATTCAGCCCTGCTGTCTGGAATTGGCTTCCGGAACTTAGCGCTGCCGCAGAGGTGGGAGAGGCTCCCGCCACTGCCACTGCGCTCACTAGCCCTGAGCCCGGCTTCTGGCTGAGCGGCACTCCACCTGTGGGAGCGCACTGACCACCAGGGGGCAGCTCCTGCATTGAGCGTCTGCCCCCTGGTGGTCAGTGCGTGTCATAGCAACTGGTCATTCTGCCATTCGGTCGATTTGCATATTAGCCTCATTATATAGGATAATGTAATTATATATTATATAAATGTTACATATTACATTATCCATGTATTGACATATAAGATACTATGTTATAACTTTTATATATGTATATGCTATCCTTTTCCTTATTTTAAATTGCTCTGTAGATAATTGTCTGAAGTAAAACAACAGAAATGTAGTGTAGGCTTACAGCATAAGTAAAAATAGAAAGTATGACAACAATAGCACAAAAGATGGGAGGGAGGAATTGGAGTGAGTGTGCTACTGTAAAGTTCTTACATTATACATGAAGTACTATAATATTACTTGAAGGTAGACTGTGATTAATTAAAGATGTAGACTGCAAGCCCTAGGGCAATCACTAAAAAAATTATAAAGAGAGGTATAAATAATAAAGCAAAAGTGGAGTAAAATTTAAAATACTCATTTAAAAAACCCCATGGAAATAGAGGGGAAAAGGAACAAAGAACAGATGAAAGAAATGGAAAACAAAATGATGGTAAATTTTAATGCAATCACATTGATAATTAATTATATGTAAATGACCAAAACATACAATGAACAGATAGAGATGATAAGATTGGACAAAAAAATAAAGACTAAATATGTTGTCTGCAAGAGGCTCCATTTAAAGTAAAAGAATGGTGCACAAGGCTTGTGAAACCCCCGCCTGTGAGCACGGCCGGTCATGTCGCTGCGGCACAGTTGGCCTTGGGACAGGGCACTTTTCCAAGTGGTTTTGACCTCATCACATGAGCTCTATTAAAAGCAGGGTTTTCTCCAGGAGGTGACAGAAGGGGACACCGGGTAGCTTTGAAGCCTGAGAGGGATTCCTTGTGAGGGAGGCTCCACTGCTGAGCTGGAGGGGCCACAGGGCACAGATCTGAGAGTGGCTTCCAGGAGCTGAAAGAGATCAACAACTCCAAGACCATTGGGACGTCAGTCCTACAACCTGAGTGAGTTTCCAGACGGTGAGATCTGGGCACAGCTCTGAGCTGACAGACAGGGGTTGTTTGAAGTCACTAAGTTTGTGGGAGTGGTGGGGTGGAGGGGGCTTATGGGGGGAACATCTGTAATACTTTGAACAATAAAGATAAATTTTAAAAAATAAAGTCACTAAGTTTGTGTTAATTTACTACATAGCAACAGAAATATAGATGGAAAAACATACCATGCAAACACTCATCAAAAGCACGTGGAGTGACTAAATTGCGATCAGATACTTTGGAACAAGGAACATTATCAGCAATAAAGACAGGCATTATCTATAATAATAAAAGCGCAATATGCTAATTAGACCGGACAACCTTCCTGACGAAGCCAGCGGCCGTAGGGAAGCCAGGGGAAAAAAGGCTACCTCTTCATGAATTTTGTGCATCGGGCCTCTGGGATAATGATAAAGGAGTCAATTCATCAAGAAGATATAACAATCCTGCCCTGACTGGTTTGGCTCAGTAGATAGAGCCGATGCCTGCGGACTTAAAGGTCCCGGGTTCGATTCAGGTCAAGGGCATGTACCTCAGTTGCGGGCACATCCCAGTAGGGAGTGTGCAGGAAGCAGCTGATCAATGTTTCTCTCTCATCGATGTTTCTGGCTCTCTATCCCTCTCCCTTCCTCTCTGTAAAAAATCAATAAAATATATTTTAAAAAAAAGAAGAAGATATAACAATCCTAATAACAGAGCTTCAAAATATATGAAGAAAAACTGAGAGAACTGAAAGGAGTAATAAATCCACAATTACAGATGGAGCTTTTACAGTCCTCTCTCACTGATAGAACGAGTACCGAGGAAATCTGTCAGAACAGAGGAGACACGGACCTGCAGAACGGCTCCTATTTTGTGACGCATGTTGAGTGGGAACAAAAACACAGAAGACCCAGAGGGTGTGAGAACGGGTGAGACGTCCGTTTCTGGCTCCATTCCAGTCCCAGCCGAGTCTTTCCTCAACCTGCCTCGGAGACCTGTACAATCTCACTAAATTCCCCTTTTGCTTACGTTACACAGAATAGGTGTCTACTGTTTGCACACAAAGAACCTTAACTAAGCAAACAAATGTTACACACTTTGGAAAAATGAACAGTGTCTGGTGAATGTCTATTTGCATGAATAAAGGGGGGGGGGTAATTGCCTAGGATATAATTCCAGACTCAAATCAGCCCAAGTCATCCTACTTTTCACATTCCGCTTACGTATTGCTTCTGTAGCCCAGTGGTAAATATCCCAGTCATTACTGGGCTCATTAATCAGGCGATCATACAGGTTCAGCTGTTTCTCTGTCATTTGATGCAGATATTCTTTAGCAAAGAGGCTAAAAACGAGAGAGAGAGAGAGAGAGAGAAAGAGATTAAAAGGCCAGTCGTCTCCAGCCGAGGAGCAATGGCCCCCAGCCCTGCCCCCACCTGAGCAGGATGCAGTTCTCCAGCATGCCCCGCTTCCGGCTCTCATACAGCAGGCGGGCTCTTTTGGTCTCTATGGGCTCATCAGGTCGCTCCTGCCACGGAGGCAGAGGGATTTCAATCATATCCTTCTGGGAATCTGACGGGCTGTCACCTCTGTAGAAACGGCTGAAGGACGTCACGCTGGGCAACGGAGACACGAGGTGCTGTCTTGACAGAGCAAGCATCTGAAACAAACAGACCACAGACATCTTTTTAGCATCAGGTAACGTCACCGTCACCCTTCACACGCACTAGGCGCCAAGCGCGTCTGGTTTCAGCCAGTCCTCCAGAAGCTTCGCTGAGACTGGCCCATTACAGCTTAGAGGCCCAGGCTCAGGGACCCAGGTCCCTCCGACAGTAACTGCAGTCAGACCCGAAAGCCAGCTCTGACGGCAAACACGTTCTTAACCAGTGCACTTCCAGAAGCTCTTCAGCAGACGTATGTGCTCCCCCATGCATTGCCTTCCGGTGCGGTGTGTACTCTTGTCTCTTGACCGTGTTAAAATCTGAGCATGCAGTGACGGCATGGGCCCTAATCCTCCAAGGGCTCCCAATCTAGAGAAGGGCAAAGCCTACCACGACGCCATGAGAAGGTGTTCGTGTCAGCAAGATGGCAGGACAGGACACACTCTCCTGCTCCCAGAAACCATCAACTCCGTAACACACAGACCGGTTCCCTTTAAGAGAAATCCCGAAACCAGTGAAGAGGCTCCCAAACCCCGGGCAAGCACAGAGCAGCTGCATCAAAGCTGGAAGGAAAAGCCATGACAGTCACTCATCTCGGTCCCTCCCCCTGGCTCAGCCTGGTCCGACTGAAGAAAATCTTCAGTCTCCCTCAGGAGAGAAAGGGGAGCCTGAGACATACCCCCAGCATGCCGACCTCTCGGGGGGCTGCCAGACTGGCTAGTGTTTGTTCTCTCTGAATCTAAGTGCTGGCAGGAGATGGCACCAGGTTGGGTGCTGTTGAGAACAAAGGCAAGGGTTTGGACTGGCCCGCACTCCCCCACCATGGCCCCTGCCTCTGGCCCGGCATAGAACGAGCAGGAGAAAACCCCCAACTCCTGGCTTTTTACATGGAAATGTATTAAAACTCCCCAACCAAAATACATAGAGTGGCCGAATGGATAAAACAATGAGATCCAACTGCCCTGGCCAGTGTGGCTCAGTTGGTTGGAGCATCGTCCCGTACATGGAAAGGTCGCAGGGTCAATCCCTGGTCAGGGCTCGTATGAGAAGGCAACCGATCAATGTTTCTCTCGCCCATCGACGTATCTCTCTCTCCTTCCCCTCTCTCTCTCAAGTCGATAAGCATGTCCCTGGGTGAAGATTTAGAAGATAATAATAATAAGTAAGACCCAACTATATGCTGTTACAAGAGACTCATTTTAGATGTAAGGATACACATGGGCTGAAGTGAAAGGATGAAAAAAACATATTCCATGCAAAAGTGAGCAGAATGACCCTACTCATCTCAGACAACACAGACTTTAAGTAAAAAACTGTCAGGGAAAAAAAAAACCTGTCGAAGATAGAG